GCTCAGCGGCGGCGAGGCCGGTTCCACCCCCGCCCGCCCGGCTCCGAAGCGGAGGTGGCGGTGGAGAGGCCGGTCCTCCCCCCCCTTTGCCGGGCTCGGCGGCAGCGAGGCCGGTTCCCCCCCGCCCGCCCGGCTCCGAGGAGGAGGAGGTGGCGGCGACGCCGAGGCCAGCTACAGAGCGTTCCCTGTGTCTAACAATCTTGGAACATTATTCTACAGTTACATAAAGGTAACAACACGGAAACCACCCACAGATGGGTGAGGCTCTCCATATTACTTGGACTGCAGCCGCTGGGACATTTTACAACCTCTGGAACTTTCCACTTCACCATCAAGGAAAAGGCAGGTGACAAAGCTGCCAATAACTTCAGACAGGCACATTCTTGGCAAAAGAGAACAGGGTATATAGGAGGAAAAGACAATGAGAATTTCCTGCTTTCAGGCTCAAAATCAATTTGCCAAAAGGGCTTTAGCAAACAGCTAAGAACCTGGAACAGCTTTCTATTTGGAAAAAGTTATCTCCTCTTGCTGATGAGCCACAAGAATGCAGATCCTTACCAGAGATTTCTGGGATATGTATCTGGAGAGCACAATGCCAGCTATTCCACAAGAGATTGTCTGCAAAGGGAACACAAGGGTTGAAAAAGAAACCACATGCACCGGATTGTGAGCCAAAGGCAAGCTGAATGGTGCTTTAAGAACATACCATATGCCTTCAAGTCTGCATGAATTAACTTTGCATACATTATTTCTGATCCAAGATTTTTTTAAAAAAAGGGTTTGGAATCCAGCCTGACTAAGAGTTCTAGTGAGCTCAAAAGCTTGCTCAGTGTTTTAGGTCCATTTGGGTGGTCCTTTTAAAAGGTATAACACAGGTGTGTTCTTTTTGAACAGACCAATACGGCTGTTGTCCGGAGTGGCCCAAGCTAGCCTGATCTCGTCAGATCTTGGAAGCTAAGCAGGGTCAGCCCTGGTTAGTACTGGGATAGGAGACCATCAAGAACTCCAGGATCACTATGCAGAGACAGGCAATAGCAAACCACCTCTGTGTTTGTCTCTTGCCTAGAAAACCCTAAGGGGTCACCATAAGTTGGCTGCAACTTGACGGCACTTTACACAAACAATATGGCTGTTTACAATCTTCCCACTTCAAGTATTTGGGCCAGATTTAAATGTGCGGTATAAGAACTTTGCCCTTGTGCAGAGTCTGGTTTAAACAGGGCTGCTACCCACACAAAGCGACTTCCTTAGTATGCCCAGGCTATGGACCTCTGGCACACTAACTAAGCATGAGTTGCAGCCCAGGTTGGACAAGACTGTGTTTAAGTGCAAAATGCTGTGGGAAAGTGCTTTTGCCTTGCCAGCATCATCAGAGAGATGGAAATACAAGAACCACAAACTGTTAGGATAACAGGAGAGGGCCCACAAATGGGAGCTACTGGGGAGGGACCAGGCATTGCTGAACACATGCAAGAATCCCAGGGATGCCAGACTCCAGGTGGGGCCTGGGGAGCCCCATCAGTTACAGCTCATCTCCAGGCTACAGAGACCAGTTCCCCTGCAGAAAATGGCTGCTTTGGAGGGTAGACTCTATGGCATTGTACCCCACTGAGGTCCCTGTCTTCACAGGCTCCACCCACAAATCTCCAGGAATTTCCCAATCTGGAGCTGGCAACACTGCCCCCTGTCTGTGGCCAGGGGGGATCTGGAAACCCTCCCAGTGGGGGTGCATTTGTTCCTGCCCCATGGATTCTGAAAGATAGATTTTGTCCCCCTCTGGCAATGTTCCCAAGTACCATGCTTTATTTTTACCCCACGTGAGAAAGTGAAGGGGAAGGGGTAGTCTTAGTCAATGGCAACAGGGGCAGCTAAACATTCAGAACACTCATCTCCTAGGGAATTGGGGGGGGGGGGAGAGAGCAGGCTCCTACTACCATTTGCACCACCTAGGGTTGCCAGTCTCCCCGTGGTGGCTAGAGATCCCCTGAAATTACAACTGGTCTCCAGGTAAAAGAGATCAGTTCCCCTGGACAAAGTGGCTGCTTTGGAAGGTGGCCTCTAGGTTACCCCACTGGGATCTATTCCCTCCCCAGGCTCCAACTCACAAATCTCCAGGAATTCCGCAATCCAGAGCTGGCAATCCTGCACCCAATACTACACCCATTCCACTTCCTATGGCAGCTTCTGCCCACCTTGTAAGGGGCAAGAACCAGCACTCACTTGACCCTGCAAGGTGGGGAACAGTGGGGTGGCAGTGATTCTGGGGACTCAACCTGGACTTTTGCCCAAGGCCCCAGTATCCCTAAGACCACCCCTGTGAAGGGCTGCACAAGAAACATCACTGGGATGGGAGCTAGCCATGCTCCTGATGACTCCACTTTCTGGTTAACTTTGTCCCAGGTTGCAGCTGGTATACTTTATAGGAGCTAAACCTGATCCTATCTATTCATCCTGTGCCTGGCTCGGAACTGCGAGGTGACCTAGCTTAAGCCTTCAATACCCACAGCCCTTCCACCCTGCTCTTTCTTCCAGCATTCAAATACCAAAAATACCAATGCACACAAAAAAAGTTTACCAAGATGGCCGAGGTCACTGAAATGACATTGGAAATGGCATATTGCAGTGAAATGGCTTCCTGAGGGTTGGCAATGTGGCGCAGCACTGTTCCATGAACCAGAGCACTGACAATGAAGTTCAGGTGGCCAATGACTATCAGGATGAGTCCTGTTTTCATCAAGAGCTTCTGTGTGCTGCTGGAATCCAAATAATCTGGAGAAGATAAAGGACTGTGTTTGTTTCAGGGTCACAATGCAGTTCACAAGACACCTCCCCTCCACAACCTGGGGCAGGTAATCTTTCAAAACAGAGAATACTGTAAAACAAAATGTAGCCGTGGTAATATTAAAGTAAACACATCAAATACACATGAGAGCCTTAGATCTTCCGAGATGGCCATGCTGGGAGCCAGCAGGCCCAGGAACTCTTTTGATCAGCTACCGCAGCACACTGATTGGGTTGTCAGAATTCTTTTTGCTTGCATCCTTATCCCCATGGATTCATACCCTCCCTACTAAGCACAAATGCTTGTGGAGCACCCTGACTAGCCCAATTTTGTCTCAGAACCTAAGCAGAAGGGGGTGCACAGGACGGGGCAGAAGTCAGTGCCCCTTGTTAGTGCATTCTGGTTTGGGCTGAAGAAGAAGAGATTGGATTTATGCCCCACCCTTCTCCACCCGAAGGAGTCTCAGAGAGGCTCACAATCTCCTTTCCCTTCCCCTCCCCACAACAGACACCCTGTGAGGTAGGTGGGGCTGAGAGAGCTCTTTCGAGGACTCCTAGTGAAAGAACAGCTGTGAATAAACGTAACTGACCCAAGGTCACACCAGCAGCTGCATGAAGAGAAGTGAGGAATCAAACCCGGTTCTCTCAGATTAGAGTCTGCGCTCCTAACCACTATACCAAACTGGCTTTCTTTCTTGAAAAGAAATCCCAGGAGGAAAATGAGGAGTACCAGCATGGGACACACAAAAGGAGGAAACCCCATAACGGATTTTAATGTTGTTCCAATGTGCTTTGGCCCTTACCTGGATGACCCAAGCTAGCCTACTCTGGTCAGATCTCGGAGGGTCAGACCTAGTTAGTACCTGGATGGGAGCGCACCAAAGAACTCCAGGGTGGCTACTCAGAGGGAGGCAACAGCAAACCACCTCCATTAGTCTCTTACCTTGAATACCTTATGGGGTCACCATAAGTCGGCTGTGACTTAATGGCACTTTTCATTAAACACAAAAAGCATGGTCCATTAGGTTTGCAGAGAACAGCTGAGAAAGATGTACATTGCTAAAATCAAGGGTAAAGTAACATCCTTGAAACACACCTGAAGCTGCCTTATACCAAATCAGACCACCTGGTACCTCAAGGTCAGTCTTGTCTACTCAGACTGGCAGCAGCTCTCCAAGGTCTCAGGCTGATGTCTTTCATAACACCTCCTGCCTGGTCCTTTTTAGTGGAGGTGCTGGGGATTGAACCTGGGACCCCCTGGCAAGCCAAGCAGAGGCTCTTCCACTGAGCCACAGTTCCTTAGTCTCCGAGTCACAAATGTTCATTATTATTTCTATAAGATAAATTATTTTTAATCAATTTCTCTCACAGGATTCTAGGCATAACTAGGACAAGGAATTATCAGTGTTTTGTTTGCTGTGAAATCCCAGATCCATGCTCATACAAGAACTTTGATAGATCTCAGTATGGGGGGAGGCAACTTGAGGCCCCTTAAAAGCTAACCAGTGGCTTTGATGTGCCTACAGCTCCACTTGGTCTTCTGCCTCAAAGAATCCACTTAGCTTTAAGAAGCTATAAGCCCCTCTTGTGTTGTCAGATCTGGTTCTGTCTTCAGAATGTGGTCTCAAGGCAGGGAGGCCAAGGGTTAGAGGAATCTATGGTGATGAGGTAAAGCAACGCAGAGGAATGCATGTTCTGCATTCCCCGCCCCACCATTTGCCCTCCCCTCCTGTTCTGCTAGCTTATTTTTGCTGCTTTGTCAGGGCGGAGGGAAGAAGCAGGCTGAGGTCTCTTTCGGGAGGGGGCCTGGCAATTCTTTGGAAGTATGATTGCCAGCAGGCTTGGAGGAAAATATGTCCTGCCCCTTTAACAGAGGCTTCATGCGTGGAAATTGACAGCTGGGGTTTTTAAAGGCAAGGAGCTAAATGATGTCACTTAGTTAATAATGTCCCATTACAAAGATAGGACTTTTCTCTCTCTCCAGAGGGCTGGTAACCCTACTCATAAGGAGAGTTCCCAGCTACAGCCTGCTGGAAGGGGCTTGAGTCTGGCATCTGGCAATACCAGGCCTTCAGACTTCATGCAGAAATTGTTATAGGCAGGGCTATTTTGGGGCAGGAACACACAGGAATGGAGTTCCGGCTGGCTCCTGTTGGCCACGCCCAGCAGGAACTCATTAGCATAATAGGCCACACCCAATAGCAGAAACTCATTAGGATTGGCTACATTAGGGGTGTGTGGCCTAACATGCAAAGGAGTTCCTGCTACCAAAAAAGCCCTGGGTTTTGACAAGAAGGTAAACAGAATAAGAAGGGAAAGGTGGGTGTGGCTGGATGACCACACTTCTGGTAACATGTGGGGTGTGGCCTATTATGCTAATGAGCTGTGCTGTCAGGGGTGTGACCTAATATGCTAATGGGTTTCTGATGTTGGGTGTGGCCTATTATGCTAATGAGTTCCTGCTGGGCTTTTTCTACAAAAAGAGCCCTGGACAGGGGTATGTTCAGGGATTCTGGCTCCCGAGGGACAAGATCCCTCAGCTACTCTAGAGAACAAAACAGAGTAACCAGTGCAGTGCAATCAACACCAAGCTCCTGTACGTATTAAGATAACAACCATCTTCAGTTTTTTCATGCCTAGCATTTGGTGTTCTGAGGTATACTGCCTCTGAGCATGCAAAGCTGAAATCCGTCACCTGCAGGCTGCACCAGAGCAGTCCATTCTTCCACTCCATTCCCCTGTATGGGTGAGCCAGGCCTCTACCAGTGATCAGCATGATAAGTTGTGGCAGTGGAGTCTATAAATGAATTATGTGCTGTATGATACAGCTGTGCAGAGCCCAGCTGGGTGCACGGTGGGACAGACATCCTTAGCTGCTTTTTCCTGCCAGTATCTTCCGATGGAGCAACCAGGCTGTGCAAATCAGTGGCAGGATATGGTCTTTCCACAGATCCAGGCAATGAGTTTCGGAACAAACTTAATCCAGAGGGTTGATAGGGTTCCTTGGATCATGTTGACTCAACGGCTATAAGGAATCCCTCTGCAATCTGAAATTTCCTTTAAAACAAGCCTATTTCTTTAAAGATTAACTACTTGTTTAAACAGCAAAGACCAGGTGGAAGTCATCTTCCTGTAAGCACATCCCAAAGTTTGCAGATCATCAGTGGCCTGGTGGGGAGGGAGTGCAAGTGGCAGGAAGGCACTAGAAATTCAGACTCTTTCTTCTGCCAGGAGAGTGTATGGAGGAAAAGATGCTTTTCAAAAACCTGTTCCAGCAAGTAAGTCTATGGTAGTCTTTGTGGGCAGGATATTAACCTGGCAGTTCCTGTTCTTCCTACACTTCCTGTCATCATCTCCCCCTCCTCCCTTGCCATGAAAATTTAGACTGTTTTTTACAGGCATGAACTTGACTATTCCTCCCCCCCCCCGTTCTGTTCTTCTGTGAAGCATCTTTGTATCACTAGTATGATGATACAGATAAATATTTTGATAACAACATTCCTCCAATTTCTATGCCTGATTTCTGTAGCAGGAGAAACTGGCAAGTCACTTTCTCCAACACTGTTGTTTTTTTCAACCCGTGGGCACCTTTGGAATTCTGACACAGGGTGGTGGGCACCAGTGTTCCCTCTAATCCCCCCCCCCCCCAAAGTGGAGCAGTTCACATCCTGAGCAGGATATAACTGCTGTAATCTTAAAATGGGCAGTGGAAGACCCTGCGTGGATCCAGACTGCTGCTGAGTGGCTGCTCACACACACAGCTTAGAGGGAATGCTGGTGGGCACATCAACAATATGGCTGCTGCAGGAGGCAGAGTCAGCCACAAAATGGCTGCTTCTACAAATGACCTTCAGTCACACAGTGAAGATCCTTGTGCTGTGGTGGCAGCTTCTGACAAAGCAACATTTTAAACAATCTGCACAGCCAATCAGATCTCCAATGGCCAATCAGAAACCTTGTTGTGCAAAAGCCCCACATGGCCTCGCCCCCTTTCTAAAAAGACTTGGTGGGCACCAGGAAAAGTGTTGGCAGGTGCCATAGCACCCATGGGCACCACATTATAGACCCACATTGCAACATACTTTCCCCATCCTTGAGTTAAATAATGCCCACTGTCAGGGTTTAAAGTTCCTCCTCCCCACCCTCTCCAATCCATGTGAAAGGTGAAGCAAGTTAACAAAACACTCAATACTGCCTTTTTCAGTTTATGAGTGAATGCACCTCTGTTTGTGCAAACAGTAGAGAGGAATATTACATATCAGTAAAATCTATGGACTCTCACCCCAGCTTGCATTTTTATTTGCGTACATGAACACAGCCTTAGTGTTTCTAATGCCAGAATTCTTAGACTCTGGGTGTCAAAATCCAGATGGGTCATGTAATATTCATACACCGTGTACACACTTCATTTACCACTGGAGTGAAGGAGAATCTTGCTGCATGCCCACAAACCGAACTGGTGCCATTATGTTATTAAGCATGGAATCCTGTGTATCTGGCTCTTGAGAGAGGAGGCGGGCAAATAAAGGGCCAAAGTTTTCAGGACATATATTCTTCAAACCAGTGTGCAGTGCGTATTTTCTAAAATGAGATGTGCTGAGGTCCAGCCTCCTTGAAAGACTTACTTTGGGATCTGCAAGTCCCCTCCCCCCAATCCTAGGAGAGTGGGGCTGGAGAGCTGCGATCACTGTGCTACAGGAAAAACACTCTACAGTGCTCAACGAGAAAAGACATTTTGCATGTGCTTGATGGTGCCCCCTTTTGTTATTCCTTGACATGTTGCAGGGCCTAGTTCTGCCACCAGATGCAGGAGCTAGTGACTCTCCCTTAGTGGAAGCCCAGCTGCCAATTGACTTTTGCCGCCCTTTGATGGGATCAGCCCTTTTCCACAAACAAGACACTTCAACCTGCTAAAAAAGCAATGTGGGAAGGCCAGGTCAGGCAGGTCACAGAATTGGAAGGGGATCAGGCAGCCTCATGGAGGAGGAGGAGGAGAGGCCCACCAATTGGCACTAGCCATAGAGTTGCCAACTCTGGGTTGGGAAAATATTGGAGGTTTGGGAGGGCAGAGTTGGGGTGGGGGTGGGCCCTCAGCAGAATACAATGCATTAGAGTCCACCCTCCAACAGGGGAATCGATCTCTATAGTCTGGAGATCAGTTATAATTCCAGGAAGTTGGCAACCCTAACTAGCCAGGTTAAAGGAAACCTCCATGCCTAGAGGCAGTGAATTTCTGAATCCGAGTGCCAGAACCAGGCAGCATCAGGGGAAAGCCTTGGCCTCCATTGGGGTTGCCAACCTCCAGGTGGTGGCTGAAGGTCTCCCACTATTACAACTAATCATCAGGTGACAGAGATCAGTTCTCCTGGAGAAAACTGCGATTTTGGAAGGTGGACTCTGTGGCATTATGCCCCACTGAAGTCCCTTTCTCTCCTCCAAATGTTGCCCTCCTCAGGCCCACCCACCCCAAATCTCCAGGTATTTCCCAGCCCGGAGCTGGCAGCCCTTCGTTGACCCTCCAGAGCAACTGTGCCAAACAGGATGCTGGAGTGGGCAGGCCATTGGTCTAATCCAGCATGGCACCCCTTCCACGTTGACATTCTTTTCCCTCGCAGAGGCTCAGGCTGCACTGCTGAGACACACCTCAGATTGCAAAGACCTCTTCCAGCATCTTCTCCCCGACAAACATCTCCTCGGGGAGCATTTCTTGCGTCGCACACTGAGACCCCCTTAGGGAGGAAGGAAATCCCTTTCCTACCCGTTGTCTTTCACCTCCGAGAGGAGCTCACTCACCCAGCCGGCACATCTTGGCAGTTCAGGGTCTGGCCATTGAGTCCTCGTCCCGGTAGTTTGCTGGAACAGGCAGGGAACTCCGCGAGTTCGTGCTCTTCCCCAGGCAGTGCCTGTTCCCTGGCAGCAGCCTTTCCGCCTCCTGCTGCAGACAGCCTGCGATCTGAAATCAACTCTTCCGGTTTGACCAGCTCCCCAGCCCCCAGAACAAAAGGCCAGACTCCACCTTTGCCTTCCCCCAGGAAATGTGATTCACCTGCCAAACCCCACCCTCTCCTGATCTCTGCTCTAGTCTCGCCTAATCTGCCAGCCAGGTGTGTCAGCCCGACTTTACTCGCCAGGAGCCAACGGCTCTTTGGCTCTAAACCTCTCACCCAGCCGGGCTGTATTCCTTTACCGGCAGCAGTTTTAAAGCTTACTTCCTTTGTCCTAACGCAGAAAAACAGGGATTATAATATTTGTGTGCATTCCAAAAAAGTAACTGAAGAACTTAAGGTGTCATTCCTGAGCTGTAACTTGAGTTATTTTAACATGCGCCAAACATTTTGATAACCAGGGTTGCCAGCTCTGGATTGGGAACTACCTGGAGACTTTGGGGGGTGGAGCCTGAGGAGGGCGGGGTTTGGGGAAGGGAAGGACTTCAATGCCACAGAGTCCACCTTCCAAAGCAGCCATTTTATCCTGGTGAACTGATCTCTATTCCCTGGAGTTCAGTTGGAATCAATGCTCCCTCTAAGCTGAGGAGTCTTGTGAGCAAAAATGCTACTTTGTGAGCTACTGGCATTAAAGTTGTGAGCGAGCGATTTGGCTGCTGCATATGTTAGTTTGCTCTGGAGCCTGCCTTCCTGAGCAAAGACAAAAATCTGTGAGAGAAAGGCTAAAAAACTGTGAGCTAGCTCACACTAACTCAGTTTAGAGGGAACACTGGTTGTAATCCCAGGAGATCTCCAGCCACCACCAGGAAGCTGGCAACCCTATTTCATAACTGTCTGACCAGCAGAATATTTTCAAATGTTATTATGTGAATACAGTTTCAGAGGGCAGCCATGTTTTCCTGCAGAAGAACAGCAAAATTTGAGTACAGCAGCATCTTTTATTCCAACAAGATTTTTGGGGTAGAAGGGAAGGGAACTTTGACTCTTGAAAGCTTGTACCTACTGGACTCAAATCCTATCTGAAAACTGCCCATTCAACAACCAGTTAAAAGGGTTCTCTTTTCCACCCATTTTGGGCAGAGCTCCTCTGAGCCTGGGAGTTAAGCAGGGTTAGCCACAGTTAGTACTTGGATGGGAGACCACTGAGGGAGACTGTGGGTGTTACATGGAAGGAAGCAATGGCAAACCACCTCGGCCCCATGGAGGAGGTTGCCATGGGTCGGTTGTGACTGGATGGCACGTTCTTCTTTTCTGCACACTGACCAAGCAAATTGTTCTAATATGCCAAAAGGGCAACACTATGCAAAAAAACGGTTGTTCATTGAGAGTGGCTTCTGTGCAGGCACACATGGGACTGCAGTACTGCAGGCCTACCACCGGGAGGAGCTAGCGAGCATTTTCTCGAATTTTCATCCCGAGAGGGCCAGGAGGCGGTTTCCCGCCCAAAATACCACCTGACCTGGGCGGAGCATGCCCTCTCCCCTCAGTTCTCCTTCTGCTGCATTATTAGAGCGGAAGACTCCCACAGCAGGGAAGGAGGGAGGGATGTGTGCCTGCACAGAAGCCACTCTCAATGAACAATGGTTACAGGTAAGGAACCACCGTTTTCATTTTCAAGGCTTCTGTGCAGTCCCACATGGGAGAGTAGCAAGTTTTACTCACATGGAGGAGGGAGTGGGAGGCTTCAGCGGAAAACCGACTGCAGCACAGCCGTGCCCATCGCTGCATCCCTCCTCGCATCAACGTCCATTGCATAGTGCTTGACGAACGTCGAAGGCATCGACCAAGTGGCCGCTCTGCACACCTCCAGCAGAAACAATCCTGCCTGAAATGCCGCCAACGCCGCCTGGGCCCGGGTCGAGTGTGCAGACAACACCAAGGGGCATTGTGTACTAGCCCCTTCATACGCCAATTGAATAGCTTTGCAAAGCCAACGGGAGATAGTCTGCGATGAGGCAGCTGTACCCTGTTTCGGTCCACCAAATCATACAAATAAAGCAGACGCTTTACGAAAAGGCTGCGTCCTCTGTAGATAGAAGAGCAAAGCGCACCTGACATCCAGGGAATGTAAGGAGCGCTACACCATGCTTCCAGTTTCCACCCTATCCTGGTAGTCAGAGCCGGCTCACCCGCTAGGCGAACTCGGCATTCGCCTAGAGAGCGAGCCGGCCTTTAGGGCGCCAAACTGCTCTCCAGCAGGGCGCTGTCTCGCTGCTCAGCCCCCAGCTATGGCCAACGTCGGTGCAGGCTTGCACTGTCAGTTGGCGCCTCCTTGTCGCCCCACCGCCCTGCGTCCGAGATGTCATCAGTGGCTGGAGCAGCTACGGTGGCGGAGAAGGAGGAGGAGGGCCCGGGAGCTGCGCTTTCCCTCCGGGCGAGAACTCAGCCGATGTGGGCATGGGCTCAAACCGCCTCCTCACCCCACTGTCCCTGCGCCCGGGATGTCATTAGCTGTGGTCGGCCGGTGGCACCCTAAGGGCTCCTTGCGGCCCCTCCAGGCGGGTAACCCAGCCCAGAAGGCAAGTCAGCGGAACGCTGCAAACTCCACAGTGATGGCCTTGAGCCCCAGCGAAAAGAAGGGGCGAAAAAGCAAGCCTCTCATTGCTCGAGCAGAAGAAGACCGTTCCTCCGCCCCAGCGGTGCTCCTTGGTGGCTACAGATCGCTTTGCACGTGGGTGCCCAGAAGTCCAATGCAAGCCGGAGACCGGCAGCAGTAGCTGCGTTCGCTGCGCACTCACCGCACTCACCTCTGCAAAGCAGCAGAGAAAAAGGGGAGATTTGCCACTGCCCGCAGCCTCAACGGGACGGGGCTGGCCAGTCCGCCCCTCGCTCTCTCCTTCCTCTCCCCTCCCCTTCCGGCTGCTCAAACTTGAGGGCGCGCTCTCGCGCCGGGCCATTGGCCCGTCACGGCTTCCCTCCTCTCGCCTCTTCAAACTCCCCGCTGCTGGTTTCCTCGTGCGTCAGCCGAGCTGCGGTTAGCTGGTGGCGCCTTGATGGCTCCTTGCGGCCCCTCCAGGTGGTTTTCCTCTGCCATGGGTGAGTTGGGGGCCGGGGCTCGTGTGCCCGGGAGCAGCAGCAGGGCGGTCCCGACTGGCGTCGGCATCTTCAGGGACGCCTCGCCATTGGGACAATCAGAAACTGGAGGAAGGTGGGGAGTGGGCTGGGAGCGGAGGAGAGGCCTCTTTGTTGCCGAATCCCTGCCGGCTCTCCTCCTCTTCCTTCTCTCCGTTCCCCGCCTGGAGGTTGGCAACCCCGTAATTGGTGGGGGCGCGCCAGAAGGTAGCCCCGCCTAGGGTTCAAAAAAACCTTGGGCCGGCCCTGCAGGTAACACTATATCCTGTGACATATGAAACCTGGATACCACCTTGGGAAGGAAGTCCAGGCGTGGACGGAGAACCACTCTATCTTTATGGAACCTGAGGAACGGTGACTCTGTGGACAGTGCCGCCAATTCCCCAACTCGTCTTGCGGACGTAATTGCCACTAAAAACGCTACTTTGTAAGACAAAAATGAAAGCTCACACGTAGCTAGTGGTTCAAACGGTTTATGTGCCAACTGAGATAAAACCAACGTAAGACTCCAAAGAGGCAATGGTAACTGGGATGGGGGATACAAATTATTGAGACCCCTCAGAAACCTCTTTGCATCATCAGAGGCAAAAATAGAAAGTCCCTTAACAGGTACATGGTATGCTGAAATAGCAGCTAAGTATACCTTCACGGAGGAGTTAGATAATCCCTCCGTTTTAAGATGAGCCAAAAACTCCAGTATTACAGGCAACCCACACGTAGTGGGGTCTAGTCCCCTACCCGATAGCCAGGTAGAAAAAGACCTGAACTTCACCTCGTAAGAACGCCGTGTAGACGGTTTACGGGCGGCTAACAGTACATTTTGGACATCAGGGCAATAGAGTGAATGGGCCGGCACCTCCACGTCGTCAGCCTGAGGGCCAGAATCCCCGGATCGGACGGGAGAAGCCCGAAAAGCAGGTCTCCGGATTCCGGGAACACATGGAATTGTCTCTGTGCCATCGCCCACAGGTTTGGAAACCATGGCCTGTGGGGCCAGAAAAGTGCTATGATTATGAGGTTTGCACTCTCCGCTTTCGCCTTTGCCACTACGCGGTTGAGAAGGGGTAAAGGTGGGAATGCATAATATAGGGACGCTGTCCATGGAATATCGAAGGTGTTCCTCCAGGGAGTGGATTGCATGGGCAGCCCTTGAACAAAAACGTTTGGCAAAGAGATCTACACTTGGTACGCCCCACTGGCGAAACAGTGGATGGAGGTAGTGGGCATTGAGTGACCACTGGTACGTGTTTTGAAACACTCTGCTCAGCCGGTCGGCACGAGCGTTCAAGTGGCCTGCTGTATGCATGGCAGTGACGTGGGCATTTATTTGTATGACCTGGTGCCACAATTTTAGGGTTTCCCTGGTGAGGGCCACAGATGTGGTACCGCCTTGCTTGTTTATATAGAATTGAACAGTGGTGTTGTCTGTGTGGAGCATCACCGACTGTCCTTGTAGGTGAGCTGCAAAAGAGGAAAAGGCACGTTTTACTGCTCGCATCTCAAGGATGTTTATATGCAGTCCAGACTCCTCTCGGGTCCACTGACCCTGCGCCACCAACTTCCCACAGTGTGCGCCCCAGCCTAGCAGGGAGGCGTCTGTAAAGAGGTGCACATCTTGAAGTCGCACCCCAAAAGGGACACCAGCTCCCACATTTGAGGGGGAAAGCCACCAACCTAAAGACCTGAGGACTACCCTAGGAATCGTTAAGCGTAACCTTGGCGAGTCCACATGCGCATGAAAATTGCGCAAGAACCAATTTTGGAATATTCTCATATGAAGTCTAGCAAATGGGACCACTGCGGTAGTTGCAGATAAATGACCCAATATACATTGGAAAAAAGAAGCATGTCATCGCCGAAGACGGCGGAGGGCACGTATGAGTATGACAATATGCTCAGCCCTAGCTGTAGGGAGGTAGC